TTTATGAATAAGAGGAAAGTATTTTAGCATTAAGCAAATATGTACTTAATTATAAATAAAAAATGTTAATTAACGTTAATGTTAACTTAGCAGCTTATGAAGCATGTGATTTCTAAATCCGTAGGGCGTGCTTTTTAATTAGGTAGGTACAAAGTATATTACGCCGATTACGCGATAGTAATAACTATAATTTATTTGATTATGTAGTCTTACTTTGTCTCCATACAAATGTTTCGAGAAAAACAGGTCAACTTTTTTATACAATTTTACGTAATAAATAGTTATGAGTGATTCCTTTGTAACTTTTATATTTATTTTGTCTTATAATTTCTGCATCTTTTAATGAGTAAACACTCATTTTATTTATTAAATAATACGTCAAGATACATTTTATGCGTAAATATATAGATAAATATATAGAACACTAATAAAAAGTTAATCCATTTTTTAGGCTCGATGCTCTATGTATTATAATCTAAGTATAATATGTACATTAATATAAAAATAATTAATATGGTATTCATTTATATAATCATCATTTCAAGCAAAAATTGTTTCTCGTTCTCGATAACAGCAGTCATAGTACTTAAAATAGGTAAGTGACATGAAAATTAATATTACTAATTTCTAAGAAAGTAAACAGTTTTGTCTAAGATAAATAATGTCATAAATAAATAAAATAATTAAAAAACACTTAAATAATGATAAAATAATGACCACACTACCCTGACATAAGCTTAATTGAATTTTTATTTATTTATTTATGTTTACCAATAATTGTTTTCACAAGATAGTGTAAATATTTATACAATTATAAAGCTTTGAACTAAGTATAACAATTTTTTATAGGCAAACACAACATATATTGATACTAACAATTGTCACTGCAACTATTTATAATTTTAAAGAACCTTACAACTGGAGAATTAATTCCCAGAACAGTTCTTCTAAATGGAGGTATTAGCGGAGTTATTGGTCCATGAGGTAATCTAAAAGGGTTTCGTAATTTTATAAGGCTTAGTAATTGGAGACAATGAAATTTATATAAGTTTATACATAAATATGGCGTCAGAGACTTTCCTGCGTTTTTCTAATGAATTTATTCAAAAGTACTGTAGCTTGATTAATTTTTTTTGACAATACCTGTGGAGAATGCCAAGTGCAAAATAAATGCATTGTGTAAATAATTGACTGTTAAAATTTATAAATTTATAATACCTATTAACTAGTTGACATGATAGTAGTAACTCAAAATAAGAAGTTGTTATTTGCAGTTTCAGACTGTATCCAGATTTTCTTCCCAAATTCCTCAGCTTTTATGTTGTGTTCAACAGGATTTTCCCAAATTCCTGCCCAAAAGTCACATGAGGTTCTTCAATCACTATTTCTGTTTTCTTGTATATTTGTCGTTTATTTATTTTTGCGAGTTTCTGTTTAAGCGTATCAAGTGTGTGTTGAGATGCATGTTAGATTCCTCGTGTGCAGAATGTGTTTTATATTGTTCTACTAAAAAACCAACACCTAAAAAATTTCATAATAAAAAACACAATAAAAACAAAAAACCAGTTATAGGTTTTCACAAATAAAAACAGGATTTAACTAATTCACATGACAATACTGATATTATACTTGCAATCAACTAAATAAAACCTAGATTAAGAACATTATAGTAGTATAAACATTATAAGTAGGCAATTGCACAAAATAAAAAGTTTAAATCACACGTTTAAAGATGAACCATCAAAGAACTCTCTAGATATTTTATAAAAATTATCACTTACACGCTAAATACATGTTGCATGTTCTTGTATATTTCACTTGTATATTTTAAGATTTTCAACACTGAACTTGGCCCCCATATAGATCTAATTTTTTTTTTCAGTAGAGTCGAAACGATGCAAATTCGTAATATTGAACTTTACTCTTATTTCATATTTATTTCAACACTGAACTTTTAGATCTAAATTTTTTTTTTCAGTAGAGTCGAAACGATGCAAATTCGTAATATTGAACTTTACTCTTATTTCATATTTATGTTTTGATTGGGCTATGCACTTCAACACCCTCTCCCGTTTCAACATTTAATTTATTAATAGTAAATAAATAGTAATTAAGTACTCATTACGTTTTGCAATTTATTAATATTTAGTGACTTACAAAAACGTGTTAAGGAAACGCATTAAAATCTAATTATCTGATAACAGTAATAACTATACAAAATTAAGTGACATTTTCATCCCATTATAAGACTATCCTGTCGTAAATTTCATTTAGTCATTTATGATCATAAATGATTATTAATTGCCCATAAATTTTATTAAATTTTTAGTAATATATAAATAATATTAGACCGTTAATCTTCCTAAAATAAATAATAATTAATTCGTGTCTATAGGTATTTACAGTCGTTAGTTTTTATGCAACGACTATGAGGAACCCTACATTGACAGTTCAACCGACGACTAAGGGTCGTCCGTTGAACGGAAATATCCAACAAAGGCCATCGAAACTTAAAATACATTGTAATATAGAAAAAATATCAACATCTGGCCATTGTCTCGCGGGTCGCGGGGGAGTCGCTATAAAATAAAATAAATAAATAACAAAACGTCGCCACCGCACGCGTCATTATTCAGTTGCGATTGACAGCCACTTCCATGGGTTTTGTTCTCTGTCGACTGCGTGCAGGACTTGGCTCAATAATACGCCTACTTATTGGCGCTGAGCAATCGTGCCTTACTACAACTTACATGATTTGATACTTACAAGTGATTTTAATTATATTAACGTATCAATGCAAAATGCAACATATTAATACTACGAAAGGCGATGAAGCAGTTTTTTTAATACAGTTAGTATGATGGATGAGATGATGACAATGGAGACATCAAGCAGTTAACTCATCATGACTAGTTTACAACAAATTAAACACTTGGTTCCAGGGCAAAACGCAAAGAGGTCCAACTGATAAAGTAAGTATACCACTAACCAAGATTATTAATCATAGGGCCGTTTAATAACAATCATACCAGAGGAAGATTTTGTACAAAAGTCGTTTGCTTAAACTCCTCTGTCCCATCCGTGTTCATACCGTGAAGCAGTTGTTTTTGCATGACTGTGTTTCGGTTTCAAAAGTGGGATATGGCAGTGAATTTACAGGGTACAGAAGAAAGAAAGAATAACATCTAAATCCTCAGGAATGCAACGCACAGGGAGTAACATGAGCGAAACAGTAAACTCTGTTATGTCCGTAGTACTGCTCATGTCTATAGGCGACGGTTACTACTTTCCATCAGGTGAGCCGTCAGCTTGTTTACCAATCTAAGTTGTATAAAAAAAATGCGCTTGTCTTGGCTTCCATTAGGTAGTACAAGGGTACGAAAAAACAATAAAATGCCAAAAGCTCTTGTTCATCCGCTGAATTAAAAAAAATAATATTATTATTATAATAACTTGCATTTTGTATTATACATCTAAAAGAGTTATATGATCTTTTTTAATAAAATATCAAAACCATTTAAAAGGACTTAAATAAGAAAAAATGGCGGATCGCGGATATATTTTTCTAAGACGCGTGTTCGCTTCTTTTGAACAACGGTGGCGAATCGCAAAAATCATGAATAAAATCAATTCATATTTAGAACTATTCCTTTTGAATAAAAACGTCGAATGAAACGGTGATTTATCAAAAACGTCAGCTCATTCAAATCGGATGGTCTTTTAGAACTTTTAAATAAACATCGTTTTTGGGATGACATACAAAATGGCGCGTATCGAATGCTGTTTTTTTTAATGTACCTACGTGTTTGGTGGGACAAGGGGTGCTAATGAGTGGAGGACACCCACGCTACGATGATAGTGCATTTTTGTCACTGTTTCTAAGTTGTTTGCGAATTTACCAATGGTACCATTGTGTGGGTATTACCTTAATAGGTAGATAAATTATGATTACACCTAAATAAAAATAGTATTCTGTATTTTTCAGTGCAAACTTTCATGAAATCCCATACCTTTTCGCTCAACCATTTTTAGAACGCTAATATTTACACTAGAAAATAAATATAATAAGTGATATAACACAGTGCATAGACACCAGATAATCAATAGACGTGAAAATGACTTGTTGTTCAGTCTCCCCCTAGTAGGTACCCATGTCTTATATAAAAAGCGAGTAGTAATTAGCTATTTATTATATTTTCATTTCATCATAAAGGTCATCCATCACACTTGCTGTACTGAAGAAAACCTCATTCCATATTTCTTTTAGAAACCACATTTTGAAACCATTCTGACCTAAACGATCTATATTGGAAAGAAGGGAATTATAGTAAGCAGTCTTATTACTAACAATACTACTATGCCACTTTAAGTAGAGTCAACCTCCACGCCGGATAATGATCCCTATAACAGCAAATAGTTGTAATAACAAATATATCTCATAAAACTGAGGCAGCAAACAAGCATACGGTCCACCTAAACATGTGGTTACTATAGCCAATAAAAGATTACAATACCAGAGCACAGAAACATTATGCCCATATTACCAATCTTAAAGAAACCTCTTTACTCCATTTTTATAGAATTCATCTCTCGGGAAAACTTTGCCAGAGAGCACGATTCATAATTTATTAGTCCGTGGGAAGAAACATCTCCAAAACCGCGCTGTGCAAGCAATACTTGCTATGTAATTCTTTGATATGAAAGTGAACTCTCTATTAGAGGCTAGTAAAAACACACAATAAATTTTTTATCTTCAATATAAGTGATTAACGAGCGACCGTTGGTGCTGCCTCTGTCGTGCTATTTAAGAACTAAAATTACTGTTGTAAATTAATAATTTCTTGCCGTTAAATAGCAAATAGCACTATTTGTTTAAAAATTAATTTTCTGATATGTCTTTATTTCATTTATAAGTTTAACTTTGTTTTAAAGATAATAAATCTAAATCATTAACACCATCGATATCGATCTCATAGCCTTCATAATTGTACATAAAGTAACGGAATACACACTGATGATTTGACATTTTTCTTGTTTGACATTGACAATTTGTTTGTCTTTTTCTAAGTGTAACCGGAATAAAATCGTGATTTGTAACTTTTTTCATAGTTTTAAATTTTATACATCTTTCATCTGTAAGTGTTAAGTAGTCAATATAAATTAATAATATATTCCTTTGAAACCAGATTCAACATACTTAATACTTAAATAACCTTCATCTTAAAGCTCAAATTGTTGTTTCTTTTTTTTTCTTTCTTAGCCCCCAAATTGTTGTTACCTATGATTTGTTATTCTTCCAGTAAATAAAATGGCAACGTCCGTTATCAACACATACGCCGACCCATGCATCCCAGAATGGATGAGTGCACCCCACAGCACTGGTACCTCTATTATGGCGTGCGAGTTCAACGGCGGAGTGGTGATCGGAGCAGACTCTAGAACAACGACGGGCGCGTACATCGCCAACAGAGTCACCGACAAGCTCACTAAAATCACTGACCATATTTACTGTTGTCGATCTGGTTCTGCTGCTGATACACAAGCTATTGCTGATATTGTCACATACCATTTAAGTAAGTACTGTAATTTTTCATACATGAATATTGATTCAAATCTTTGTTTACATTATAACATTTTTTATGCAACTTTCAAAGTCGCACCCTATAAACCACAGGTGTGCACACACTTGCACATCATCAAGCTGAAATTATTATATCAAATACTCAAATCTGCAATCCCTTGAAGATGTGAATAAATAATAAAACCATTTGCTGTGACTTCATAATTCCAGTCTTATGCTTGTTTGCCCTCTCAGTGGTCAATCTTCACTCAAATCTATCTTCTGAGTTAATAGAAATAATCTATCCTTTTAAAGCATACATTTTGAAAGCATAGGTTTTAATTCGCTTGTAAAATGTTCTAAAATAATAAAATTTGACAAGCGATGTTGTACATTACAATAAAAGGAAAACTCTGAAACTAAATTTATCAAATATTGCTTTATTTTTTTCTATATTAAAAAATGTATATATTGTATTTATGTATATATTGGTTTGCCTAATGGTTGACTGGTAGAGAACACTGTCTGGTGTTAAGTCCAATAAATGTACATAAAATTTTACTATGCATTAATGTTTAAATAAATAAATTTGTAGTTATGGGAAAAAAAAAAATAATTTGTACAGAACCCTCGACATATGTCCAACTTGTGCTTGGCAGATTTTTTTAAACCAATCTCTAAGTCAGTGTCACTTACATGGGTAAAATTTGACATAGTGTAATTTTCTTATGTGTCTATAGCTAAAGACAAGTCCTGAACATTTCATATAATTCATTTCAGATTTCCACAAGATGGAATTAGGAGAACCTCCTCTAGTGCAGACAGCTGCATCCATATTCCGTGAGCTCTGCTACAACTACCGTGATTCACTTGTGGCTGGGATTCTGGTAGCTGGATGGGATAAAAAGAAAGGAGGTGATTATTTTTAAAATGCCACTAAGAGTTTATTTGAAATGTTTAAAATAAAGTAAGGAATGGTCATATGGGTGGCAAAATCAGAATAACTTGCTAGTAACAAATATATAAATTTGCCACTAAATAACTATAAAACAAATCAAATTATGGCTTATGTACCAAAATCAAGTAAATAATTTCTGTAAGAATACAAACCATCATACATAACATACAAGAATCTCGGGTCCAGCAGTTGTATAATAATCAATAAATTTACCTGTTTCAGGACAAATCTACTCAGTACCCATTGGGGGTATGGTCCAACGACAAGCTGTATCCATTGGTGGGTCTGGATCTAGCTATGTCTATGGTTATGTTGATGCTAACTTCAAGCCTAACATGAGCAAGGAGGAAGCTGTAAAGTTTGTTACAAATACACTAACATTGGCCATGCTGCGCGATGGATCCTCCGGAGGCGTCGTAAGATTGGGCGTCATTACAGAGGCTGGGGTGGAAAGGTCCGTCATTTTAGGTGATCAACTTCCTAAGTTTTATGAGGGTTAATATATTTTGTATTTTACAGTATGTGTAATAAAAAATCTACAGTTCTACAGTTGTCTTTCATTTAAAACTTAAAAAGGAAAGTGAAAGGTATATTGATATTTAGTAATGTAGCTTCTGAATACAATTTTGGTAAAGACTAGCTGTTGCCCGCGACTTCGTTCGCGTTTCCGTTGTTTTTGTAAAATAAAAGTATATATAACACATTGTCCTTCACGGCTCTGCTCCTTGATCGTAGTGTGATGAAAAGTATATATAACCTGCCCAGGAGTATGAAGAATAATTGTACAAAGTTTCGTTAAAATCCATGGAGAAGTTTTTGTTTCTATAACGAACATACAGACAGACAGACAAAAATTTTACTGATTGCATTTTTGGCATCAGTATCGATCACTAATCACCCCCTGATAGTTATTTTGGAAATATATTTCATGTACAGAATTGATCTCTACAGATTTATTATAAGTATAGAAGATAAACACAGTTTTATATATTTGGTAAATGCATTTATTTTAATAAAATTTATTTCCATATACTATTTACATAAATTTCTAAGATTAAGATCCTATGTAAATTACATAAACGAACTTGCCCACCTTATAACAGATTTCCATTGAGTTTTATTCACCATTCTGTTTCTTATTCACGCAGCTAATTATTTGGAGATCTTGTTCCTTATTATTATTACCAAAGCTTATAAAAACCAACTACACTACAGCAATAAATCGCAAGAAATACATCAGTGAAATATTTTTTTAATAATTCGCAAAATCAGAGTGACCACATAAATAGATCATTAACTTTTTCTTAAAAACGCAGATTTTTTTATAACAAAAGTGTTTATAAGGGGCACAAGCAAAACTAAATTGCTCCAATTAAAGCTGAATTAACTTAAAGACGATTTCAAAATAAATTCGAATCGAAGATCCACTAACTAGCTCCGAGCTCCTCCATGGTATCTAGATCCCTCATCAACATCTGGATGGTTTGCTTCGTGCGCGGGAAGTAGTCTGCGGTTTCGTCATCCTCAAACGATGGGTCTTGTGACTCCAACTCTGTAAAACCCAGATAAGATCTTTTAAGTTCACCAGAGAAAGACTTTGTACAAAAGTCGATTGCTTGGGTACCTCTATCCCATTCGTGTTTCAACCATGAAGCAGTTGTATTTGCATGGCTGTATTTCGGTTTGAAAGGTGGAATATGGCGTGAATTTACTGGGTACAGAGTAATAACACCTGAGTCCTCAGGAATGGCAATGCATGGGGGGTATCATGGGCGAAACAGTATACTCTGTTATGTCTATGGTACCGCTCATGTCTATAGGCGACGGTTACCACTTTCCATCAGGTGGACCGTCAGCTTGTTTGCCATTCTAAGTTGTATAAAAAAAAAAGTTTACACACAAAACATCAAATCCAATTGGACAACTACAGTAGTTATCAAACTGAACAAATTTTTTATATTATTTCAATAAAGCCATAATTAGCAATAATTGAGAATCTAACATGACAATAAAATGATGTGCAACAGTAACGGCAGTAATCGATTCAAGATCCATTTCTAGTTCTGTAGACTGTAACATCAATCATTTTATCTTTCCAATTTAATTTAAATATAAAAATGATTAGAAGACTGTCATCATTGTGTTCTCTTGTATTTGATATTTATATGTTGTATTTAACGTGTGTATGTATGTGTGTATGTGTATGTGTATGTGTATATGTATATATATGTGTATGTGTATGTATGTATATATGTGAATGCATGTGTGTATATATATAATTATTTATAATTTATGTAAATATTTATTTAAATTTCTGTCCATTTCTAGTTCTACTGTAACATTAGGTTGACTGGAAGAAATCTCTTTTAGAGATAAGTTCGCCTTTGCTAACATTGTTATTAACTTATTGTTGTTACTGTATGTTTTTGTGCAATAAAGAATATATATATCAATACTATATTATTCTATTTCAATCTGAAGATACAAAAAGCTCTAAGTCCTCAGGTTAACTAAACTAAGTACACAAGAGACACCATAAATAGCACAATATAATAATTCTACAATGCCCGACGTGGCACTAAGCCACTTATATTTCATACAATAATTTTCATGACATGAATCGTTCAACTTGATATTCTTAGCAAAAAAAAATATTATATCCATTTCCTGTCAGTAAACGTTAATGAATAAAACTTACGTATTTTATTTTAAATTTAGAATAAGATTTTAAAAAACGACATTTAATTATGAAAAATAAGAAAGTAGGGCCATTTGTGATATCCACAAATAGCCATAACAATAATGTAATTTACCATTGCGACAGATAATTATAGCACTGACAGAGAAATTTTCTAATTAATTCTATCCATATAGAAGTCATGATTTATTCTATATTCATAATTGTTTTAAAAATATTTCTATACTTTTTGGTCATATTAATCTAAACAAGTAAAAATTATATTGAATATTAAGGTGTACATATTGTATACCTTTGTGGAAGTATCAAAACAACATACCCGCAACCTGTGCCTCAATGGAGTCGAGCCTCGCGTCAATAAGCGCCTGAGAGCGCTGAATATGCCGCAATAGACGTTCCCGACACGCGCTGTTCTCTATCGCCGGCTCCGGCTGCGGCCCTGTCGCTCTCTGTTGTTCTTGTTCTGCAAATTGATTCACTATTTAGCTAATGGATACCATCTAATCCTACTAATATTATAAATATGAAAGTTCATACGTTTAGTTATTCAATCACGTATTCAACGGCCGAACCGGTTTTAATGAAATTTGATACACGGGTAGATTATGTCTCTACATGGGATGCTTTATATACCAATACATGACATTACGTTTACCGCTAGTAGAGGGAGAAATGTAAGTCACGTGAACAGCAAAACACGCTAGTAGACAAAATCAATATGGTGAAACAATGTTTGCATACCATTCAGTTATTTGAGAATATCTTTTTAAAAAGATATTACAATTATAGATCTTATGGTCACTTTCAAACATCGTAAAATCATGAAATTTACTATAAGCTTTTTACGTGTGAATCATATTAAAATTCACTGTGTATACCCATTATGCATCTCGCATACAAAATTAATCAATATGATTCGCTTAAAGTAACAATTTTAACACCGCAATAACAATTTAATCTCTTAGTCAACCTACACGAAAAAATATCAAGATTTTTCACAAATGTATAGAATAAATTAAATATGAAGCTAGTAAAATTGGTATTTATTTTTTATGAACATAATGATAGCGTTTTTTTAACAATTCTTAAAAATACTAAAAGATTACCTTGAACACTCTTTGTCAATTTGTCCAAATCTGAATTGCTGAGAGGTAAGTCGAGAGACACTCCCCCTGGGCTAGAAAGCAGGCCACTGAGGAGAGTTTGTGGACCTAGCGGGCCTTCTCTTTGACTGAACCTATAAAAAAATTGTTCTTTTTAAAACTTTATTATAACTGACTAGTCATTTAACTGCATTTCAAGGATCACAAGATGAATTCCACTATAAACTCTAAATTCTTCAATGTAATTTTTAAAACTATGCTTTGGCGAACATGTAAAGTTGTCCAAAAAACAACTCTAAAGTTCGTCATGTACAATAAAGGCAATATGGTCATGAAGTATCGAATTGCAGGATCCAAACAAACTATAAAGCATTTAAGTCATGTTTTCAAGCTTTATAATTGTTTATTTAAACTTTAATGCATGGTGACAACCAATGGACAAACAGAGAAATGATTTTTTTATTTATTTTGTTTATTACACGCAATATAAATATTCATTACTTTGTTTAAATAATGAATATTTATTTTTGTTAAAATAATTTGCCCAATGAACATTATAAATTAAAAGAACAATCAGAAATCAATAAACTATTGTAAACAACTAATATATTTAATCTTCAAGACCTCATAGGGAAAGCAGAGTAAAAAGTGCATTAACTTTCTGTCAAAACACATGTGCTAAATTGTATATTAACATAAATACCTGTCATTCTCATCATCAATCCTCATATCAAGGTTCATGTCTCTCATATCATCCTTCAGCGGTAGATTCTCCTTGCCGATGTTGTTGATCATGATATTCAAATCTGAGTAGTCAGAGTTCAATCTATCCTGGCTGAAGTTAATATCACCATTCTCCCAATCTTGGGCCCAGAGGTACAGTTTCGGGTGATTCTTTTTCCTGTAAACAAAGTTTTAGCAATTAAATAGAACATGCATACAGGTATACTGTGTGTAGCAATTTTTTTTTTTTTTAATTCATGACAGAATTCCGTGTCATTTTAGCAGACATGCAGCACACCCTATATATTATCATACCCACTACATATACATATGTCCATATAAAAAGGTAAGGTACAAGTACTAATCAATCGACAAATTTATTTTTGCTATATTTTTGAGACATAAGGAAACAGCAGTATCTGAGATATCATTCTTTCTCATTTGTACTTTAATAAAACATATGTGCCAATAGATTAGAAATATGCAGCACGTTTTGTATGCTTAGCACACTACTCCTGTACCGGTCCAATATAAATGTTATATTATCTGTGTGGTCCCGGCATAGAATGGGCCACCCCTTCCTTTCCCGTAGGTGTCGCAATAGGCAACTAAGAGACCTTAATGGTCGAGGGATGGTCGAGCAGTGTCCTTTTTTTAAACATTACCAAAGCCTAACTGCAGTTGCCAACCCGCGTGCCAAGCATGGTAACTACTGGCAAAGCCCTCCCCAATAATGATTGGGGAGACCCTATATTCAACAGTGGAGAGTTGACAGCTGCTATGATAATAAAATAAAAATTCAAAAAAATTCAAAATTCAAAAATCATTTATTCATGTAGGACATTTTAGCCGCTTATGAACGTCAAATTTTTATAAATATAGTAATGTGCACTCACGTGGCGACGTGGTACTTGAGGCGGCAGGCGTGCAGCGCGTCCCGTATGCGCAGCAGGTTGCCGGCGAGCTCGTGCGAGCGCCGCAGCGAGGCGCTGGGCGGCGCGCCCGGCAGCAGCCCCTCGTACAGGCGGTCCTGGTCGTGCAGGAACCGCTGCGAGCGCCGCCCGCGCCGCGGATTCAGGCAGATGCTGCACGTGTACTTCTCCGGTACCTGACACAAATAATAAATAAAAACATTAAACTAATTTAAAAAGAAATTAAATGTAACAAGAGATTTATTTATAGGAACACCAACAGCATATTGCATTATGGCATATATAACAAACATTAAATACAATAATAATGCACATGAACCTTTTAAAGAAATCAAATCATTTTGATCTCTTAAATTTATAACAGCATGTTGTGACTAGTAAATAAGCTAGTAACTATTAGTTTGTTCTATGTTTTAGGCAGAGTTTGTACTATGGATACTAGACAACTGATAATAATACTTTTTATAATATTGTAAATATTTCATCTCTATTAATACAGCAGGCAGCTGAATAAATTGAAAAAACAAACATATGAACACATGTTCTCTGTTTGACAAATCTCAAAGTGATCTCACCTCAGATTCTTTCTGTATGTTGTGGCAGAGCGCGTGCTGCCAGCAGAGGCACAGCTCGCACTGTACCATGAGGCCGTCCTCCTCGCGGAACCCGCAGTGGCAGTTGATGATCTCCTCGCGTTTCATGTGCACTATCTTGATACGCTCCCCATCTGTCACAGATTATTTTGTTGTATATATTTCTAACTGACCTGCAAACGTTGTTTTGTCACCTACTTGGTTAATTTTTTATTAAATTTACAATTTGCAACATGTCTTTTTTTTATTTTTTAAGTACTTTATTATTACTTTAAAGGAATACTCAAGAAAAACTCATTATTAAACTGCCAGCGTACTCGTGGCCAACCTCATAAGGTGGAAAGCATCATCTATCAATATGAACGAGGTTAAATATTACAAAATATGAAACTTAAAGAGTTTGACTTGCTTTTCCATCAAGTATCAACAATATTGTATAATGGGGTATAAGAAGAAAATTCGTTAAATATTAGAAGTTATAACCATTATCCTTAGTTAACAATAAACTGTAAATATTAGATTACATAGATAAAGTGTCTCCATAGAAATGCTTCGAAAAAAATGAGTCAACTTTTTCCTACAATTCTGCATGATAAATAGTTATGTGTGTTTCCTTTATAATTTCTATATTTATTTAACTTTATAATTTCTGCATCTTTTTAATGCGTAAACATTCATTTTATTTATTAAATAATACATCACAATACATTTTATGAGTAAGTATATACAATACTGATAAAAAAACGAGTAAACTAATTTGCAATTAGCTGACAAAAAGCTGACCCGTTTTTGAGACTCGATGCTCTATCTATATAATCTAAGCTGCAAATATGACTGACTACTCACTCTCTGTGTACGTGTACATATCCGATTCTTTCTGTTCCTCGTTCGACACTGCTAACACAGGCTTCTGATCCGTATGTTTCGAATCCGGTGTCCCTGATCTTGGAAAACTGGACCTTGTCTCCATGTCAGAATTACCACCGAACCATTCGTCATCATCGCTTAAAGGCTTCTTTAATGGTAAAATATGTTTATCCTTCGTAACTCGTTCTAAGGGCTTTGTTACAGTGTGAGTGGATATGGCGGTCTCGAAATCTAACTGCTCTATCGGGGGTATGTATACCAGTGGATCTATAATTTCATTATCTGTCTCCACTTGGTTTTCCGTCTTTGGTTTCTTCAATTCAGGTTCTACTGTTTCAATCCTCCTGACTGGCAATAGAACTCTCGGTCGTTTCACCGGCTTGTTTATTAACGCGTGCCTAAGTTTAGGAGAATCTTGTTTTGATATCTCCACTTCAGCCTTCACAGGAGTAGTTGGACATTCTATGGGCACTTCTATCTTTGGTTCTTTTAATTCTTGTTTCACCTCTTCATAACGCTTTGGTAATCTCGGTATTTTGACTTTAATAGTCTTTAATTCTGGCATTTTAGGCGATTCTATATCAGTGGGCATAGTCCTAGCGTAAGCCAAGTCCAGAACTTTGGGTGTTCTGCCCATCATTTTACGAAGCTCCCGGTGGTAATGCTTGATATGCATTTGCAGAAGTGTATTGTTACGGAAATTCTTTAAGCACCCTTCCGCTGGGCAGCGCAGTAGATTATCTATGACTTGTACCTTCAGTGCTCCAACATATACTGAAATGTGATACAAAAATTAAAACTGTTTGTGTCATATTATTAGATTTCACATATATCTAAGGGTACAATAAAGTTTCAAGCAATTTAACCACACTTAAATAAAATTTAGTCATTGCACAATGCCAACTATAATTGTAACATAGATAAAGGTGTACAAAAGCGATATAACTTGGACAATCCTGTTAATATAATAAATGCGAAAGTTTGCAACAATAGATAGATAGATGTTTGTTGCTCTTTCAAACAAAAACCACTGGTCGTATTTGAATTAAACTTAGTACACGAGAGATAATATTCTTACATAGGATATTTTATGTACTGATTCACTGCGCAAAGCCGCGAGATACAACTAATAATGAAATAACACTGATATCAAAATTAAAAATGTTAAACATTGTATCGATTAAGCTTTATTAATTCATTTAGAAATTACAGGGCATAACAACTTAGTCCTCAGGAATGGCAACACATGAAGGGTATCATGAGCGACATTGTATATTCTGTTATGTCACTTTCATCAAGTGAGCCGTCAGCTTGTTTGCCATTCTAAATCGTATAAAAAATGAAACCTCAAAACGAGTTTCATACTATACTATATCATATATCATACCATAGAATGTCATAACAGTGCAAGACGAAGAGAGGTCGACTTAGCCGCTCGCTTGCACAGTCCTAAATCTACGCTACTTACACTAGGTCCCTAAAAGGTCACACATACATACTACATATACATATAAATTCATATAAACAACATAATCACAAAACCATTTTAAAAACTCACTGAGCACTACTTACCATATCCATCTTCTAAGGCAGGAGAATCAATTATTGGCTTATATTTCGACGTTGTTAACGACTTTAACTTTGATCTTGCTTTTTTCTTTAACTTTAATTTCGGTGGAAACACACCTTCGTTACTGCCTTCTGCACCAGTAGTAGACAACGGATGCTATAGCAAGACGAAATAATTAAAATTGTTACGCAAAAAAAAACGGACTTCAATTGTGACAAAACAAGTTATTTTGATTTAAAAACTAAACTAATGAATCGATTTTGATAAAAAATTCCAAGCTATAAGTATATTCTTTCAGATAAAAAAAATCTCCAAATCGGTTTTTTTTTATACAACATAGAATGGCAAACAAGCTGACGGTCCACCTGATGGAAAGTGGTAACCGTCGCCTATAGACATGAAGTACCATGGACATAACAGAGTATACTGTTTTGCCCATGATGCGTTGCCATTCCTGAGGACTCAGGTGTTATTCCTTTTTAACCAAGTTAATTCACGCCATATCCCACCCTTCAAACCGAAACACAGCTATGCAAACACAACTGCTTCACGGTTGAAACACGAATGGGACAGAGGTACCCAAGCAATCGACTTTTGTACAACTTTCACTGTGGAGGCGAGACACTTTAACGCAAAGCGCCAAATGCCCCCCGAAGGTGACTTCCAGATGACGTTGAAACAATTGCCGGAAACGACAAAAACACAGTCATTACTTTCCCGTTACATATGTATATAGATATTCGTAAACCGATTTGAAAAATCCATAAAACATAAAAAAATACCAATTGAGAACCTCTTTCTCTTTGAAGTCGGTTGTAAAACTGTTCATATAAATACTAAACAAACTATAATATTACACTACATTTGGTCTAAGTAATAATAATAAATTATGGCTTAGACCAAATGTATTGTACAAACATTTATTATACATATTTTACATTGGGCACGTTACAGGTTACAGAAAAATTGAATGGCAACATGAACAGTACCATAGGCGACACAGTATATTCTATTACGCCCATGGTACTTCATGTCTATAAACGACGGTTACAACTTTCCATCAAGTGGGTTGTCAGCTTGTTTAAAATATACACATTAAAAACATTTAATATACAATGGCGGACTTATCCCATAGAGGGATCTCTTACAGTTAACCTTTGAAAAGCCGATTATAAATTTGTATATTACAAGATAAAATTACATATATGTATACACGTATAATAGATATCTATTGTAAACTCTGTATCTAGTTTACAAATAGTTTTAAATAATATTGTCATAATTTAAGATAATTCAAAGTAATTTATTTCACTCACATTTTCATCGCGTCGTATTTTGACGCCAACGCCCATTTTGCGTTTTTTATCTTTAACACTGTGCTTACTGCTTTTAAGGCTCAGTTTTCTTTGCTTCACGAGCGGTGACGTGCTAAACAATGTGCCTGCCGGCAGTGTCGTGACCGGTGTAGTGTCAGTTCCACCTACAAATAAGCCATAAATCAGTGACTTATAAATCCAACTTTAAGTAATGTGACTAGGCGAAAAAAGAAAGAACGACTCCCGATTAGCATTCACTATATATTGGTTTTACGCTTTATTAAAAACAAGTGAAATGTGTAAATGGCAACAAGGTAATTTCTTTCATAGCAGCATAGTTAACCACTGTATCTACTAAGACAATTAATTACAATTTTAAATTTAGATTCAATTTGGCAATGAGTAAATCATAGCCAAATTATAAGTTCGCCGGAAAAATAAAATTATCAAGCAATTTGCTCTCCCGCTCTATTATGTATTTCAATCTATATTTCTATATCTAATATAGTATTTATAAATAATAAAAAGTGTATTAAAAATTATAAAACAGAAGTACCTGGAGTTGTGGTTACCCATCCTATACGGCGAGACAGCTTGAGATGTATTCCAAAGTCCAGCAACACATTCTCATATGAACGTAAATCTTCGCTAGGATTATTTTCCAAATAATTACGCATCTCATTTTTAGTGTGAAACCGACGATTATCAGGACTGCCAATAAATTTAAAAATATTATGAAAAGGAATAAAAAAAACTTTATTTTAAAAGCACGCTAAGAAAAAAAGAAATGCAATTCAACAACACAGCACGTACCTTACTAAAACTACATCCCATTTACCAGCTGAATGTCCATAACTTCTGCGAACCATATGCTTTGTCCAACCTTGCGGTAATCTTTTATCTTCAACCTAAAATTTAAAAAAAAAAATATAATTTTTGTGGTTGACTGATAGAGAATACTACGAGCATTATGTCCGCCTTTTATACCATATTTTTATTAGTTCAATAAAATTATATAAGTAATTTTTTAGAAAATATAAGCAAGTATATTAATACTTGCAACCTGGTTCTCTTTTCTTATATAGTCATATTTTTTTTAAATAAACCTAATCTACCTGTACACTTCGTCTTGGCAGGCCTGGCTTAGTGTTCCCATCCTTAACTTCTGCTTCCAGCTCACTAACTTTTCCAACTGGTTGTCCATTTACCCATTTGCAGCACCACTCCCCTGGCAGCAAGAAACCCATGGGCATATTGTGTTCCGCAAGTTCCTCTGCTCTCATCATCATCTGCTTTTTCATTTCTTCTACTTGCTTCTTCATAGCTTCCAATTCACTCTTAACCTTCTCCACTTGTTTCTTTACCTTTCTCTCCTGTAACAATCTTAATTTTTTACCTTTCTTTATCTTTGCTAACTTCTTTTTTTCTTTAGCATCATCTTTAGCATCATCTTTCTCAATCTTTATTTCTTCCTTTTTTTCAATTTTTATTAGTACGTCTTTAATCTCCGGTTTTGGGGAATTTACTTTTTCAACTTTATATAAATCATCCTCTATTTTGGTAATAACCTCTTTTATCTTGTCTATGACTTCTTCATGTTTCTCTCCATCTTGTTTATCAAACTTTTCCAGCTTGAGTTCTTCTTCTGATGTCTAGATTTTATAAAAATCAAACAACAACTTTTATTACAACAGAAATTCTATAACTAATATAATTAATAGACATCAGGCAAACTACATCTGCATAGATATAAACAATAAAATTATAAATACATACTAGAAAATTTTTTAATTATCTAGATAATAGAATTCAAAAATACCTTACTATAGATATAAAAGAAACAAAGCTATTATATTCATAATTTTCCAATATATAAATGACAAATATTTATAATATATATTAACTTACACGATCATCCTCTATTTTACTACTCTGCACGTCAGAACTATCTGAAATATCTATTGTCCCTGGTACCTTATTTAAATTCTCCATAGACTGACTTATTTTCTCATTTATATCTTCTTCTTCATTCATATCCTCTTCTGGTTTATCTGATTCTTCTAGTTTATCTGATTCTTCTGGTTTATCTGATTCTTCTATTTTATGAGTGTAGTCATTTGACCTTTGAACAGGTTGTTCTTGTTCATGGCTAAGTTCTGAAGGTGTTGGTTCTTCTGAAGATTTATTTTCTCTTTTTAATTTAGTTTCTTGCGATGGTTCTTCTTTTACTTCATTGTCTGATTCATTTTTAACAGTACCTATTATTGATGCTACTGCCTCTGTTTACAGTGAAAATTATCGAAAATATGCATTAATATACATATATATTATTATAAAAAAATAAATGAAATTTATACTAAATATCGCTCCACGAGTAACGCCAAAATATTAAATTTAAATACCAAATGTAATTTTTTCGAGGCCAACAGGATTGGCTATTAACACAGTTTGCATTGCTGTTTGTTTTTATTTTTGGTATATGTATGATACCAGTAAAATATTATATTTATAGAATATTAAAATTGTAAATATTTTCTTATTATTTCAGCCATCAACTGTCCACTGCTAAACAAAAGCCTTCCCCATTAGAGGGGGGGTATTGCCAGTAGTTGCCATGCTTGGCAGGAAAGTTGGGCACCACAGTTAGGTTTTCGGAGATGTTTAAGAGGAATGCTGTTATCCATCTCTCGGTCTTCCTTAGTCACCTCTTACGACCCCACAGAAAAGTAAGGGGTGGCCCATTCTATGGCGGGGCACACACGGCGAATTGTGATAATAATAATAAATTATTGCACTTACCAGGAACTTCCTTTTTCACTTTAACAGGATCAATTGGATGCTTCTCAGCCAATTTCTTTTTAACAATCTTTGGTTTTCTCACCACTGCAACCTTGGGTTTATCCGATGCCCGTTTTTTTGACCGCTTTTGTCCAATGTTGAATATTTCTTTAATATTCAACTTTCTCTTCATTTCACGACGTTCACTTTTAGAACCTAAATAATCACGGTTAGGGTCAAATAGATGTGTGTGGTAAGGAAGTGCCATGGCACTACTAGGGCCCCCTTGCTGTATTGGTGAGGGAACTGAATTTGCTGTCAAAGATGTCGTGTCAACAGTTAAGTTATCAGTGACTTTGGATTTGTACATCCTGGCGGTACTGCATTTCCACAGGAACCCATCATCAAATATTATCTCATAATTTCCTGTTAATAAAAAAAGAAAATGATTACTATATTTCTTATATGGCAGTAAAACCTTTATAACAATAAAATATTAAATAAACAAACCTTACCATTTCCCAAGTCTTTATTGACAGTAGCCATAAATCTCCGATTATCCCTCCATCGAGCTAAACATCTTTCACCTACTACAAATGTGAGTTTAGGTTTCTCTTCTGTTTTAGGCTCCTCTTTAACCATTATGGGATTAGCAACTGGTGTTGATACACTTTGTACTTCTTTTGCAGGCTCAGGAGAATTTACCACATTATTACCACTACCTAAGGGTCTTAATCTTGGACTGCTGAGACTAATCCACTCATCATGCCTGAAATTAAATTACACAATAACACTCTATTTTTATCATAGGAATAATAAATTCCATCAACTACTGCCCCATTATTAAAAACCAAAAATAACCGAAATGTAAATATTATCATGAGCAGCAATTATGATAAACTGCATATATGAGCCAATACATAGGTTTTATTATATATATGTGCAGAAAACAAAATAGTAATATTTTCATACTTATAATTTAAATTTGTCTCAATATATAAATTGGCTCGTCATGACGTTCATTCATGGTAATCTTCAATTTTAATGAAATTTTATTGTTATATATTAGATCCAACTTGAAGAATAGGATACTTTTTATTCAAATAGCAAAAAGTAACCCAGTAGGTGCTAGAAAGAGATGTTTTCTGGGACAGCTAGTAATTATACACAACAAAACTAACTTTTTCAAGTCTTCATAATGTACAAGCACCTCCATTTCATCATAGTCGACTTCAGCAATCTGTGCTTCATACCAAAATTCACCAAAATCCTTTGCCTCCACTCTAGAGCCTACTGAGAGAGGTGTACTGTTACCTATAAATAAATAATGCACTTTAAGTAAAAAAAATTATAACATTAAATATAATAAAATTAATACTATATTGATACAATGAGATTACTATGATCTTTTATATGTCTTCTATCTCACACTGTAATAATGAAAGGCAACAATAAGTGATAGAGATGTAAAACAACAGTAAAATCTCCTTGACCTAAATACATGATGGTGACAGTGAGATAAAGAAATGAGGCATTTTCAATATTAAATACAACGGCATCAAAATAATATGATCCAATTATAATTTTCATCTGATTATATTATAAATCCTAAGGTTTTTAAAGTAACATTTACATATTTATGTTGATGTTGATTCCAGACGTAATATTAAAATGAAATAAAAAATATATCAACACAATTAAAAATTCAGGATTTTCTATGATAAACTAAAATAAAAAATTACTATTAGATTTCTGAACCTCACAATTCTATTAAATAGTTATTATATTCATAATAAGCAATAATGCCCAAACTTCCCGTTTTCTAATTATTTATATTTCTAATTATAAAATACAAAAAAACATGTCAAGACCATCTTCTTTTTATCTTGTATTAATGTCATCAAAGACAATAATGTGATCCCAGGAGATCTCTTTTTAGCAATTTAATTTAGAACACTTATTATTAAGTTTTCTTTTTTACATCTTATAACCTGACAGCAAATTTAATAAAAAATAGAAATTACTACTATTATATGAGAAACAATATGGTCTAATGTGACAACTGTTACTCATATACATAAACAAAACCAAAAACATAGAATACACTGCAACACCCATAGTACCCCTTATATATTGTTATTCTTAAGAACTAACATGTTACGCCTCTGAACACTTCAATTTTACTGCCATATCTCATTTTTCAAATCAAAACATAGCTTTGCAAATATAACAGCAGAAATATGTAAATAGCATATCCGAATAGGCCCCACATTACTCTCTATCATTTTTATTACTTCATAATGTGTACTCACCTTTGTCACCAGAACACAAACTCTGTTTAGCTTCTGGTTTCATAATTCTTTTAGCGATTAATGCTTCAGACTCATTGAGTATTGCATCCATCATACTGGAAGCCACAGACATTCTCTCCTCTAGAGATTGATTATATTTATCTAATTCTACATTTTGATTTTCAATCTTTTTTTCTTCCTCTGGCTGTTTCTCCTTCTCTTGTATTTCCTTCTCTTGTTCCTGAATATACTTTTTTATAGCATCCAAATTCTCTCCTTCTGACTCTTTACTACTATTCTGAGAATCATTCTCACTTTCTTCTTTAACAACATTGTTAATATCCATGTTCAATGTATTCTTGTCTGGTAACGACCAAGGAAATATTGAGGGTATTGCATCTACAAGCAAAATTATTAATTGTATCATTGATTGTAAAGTAAAAAAAACCATGCATTAACTATACTCCATAAGCTCAATCTACTAGCAAAAATTATCAAAAGCAATGTCATTCTGATTACAAATATCAAATACAAAGTAAATATAAATAAAAAAAAAATAAAAACATCAGTGAATCCAGTGAACAAAAACAACTACTATAAAATACTACACATAATGCAAAGTAAATTGAGCATTCAAAATACACCAATGTACTCAAGCTACTAGCAACATTCTAAGAAATACCTGACTTCAAAACATATTTTGAGTCCTTATATATTCGAAAATCGCATTTACGAAAATGCCGAGAGCACACGTAACTTGCCAAATCAGTGTTAGTTAATTTATATTGTGTAACTTCTATCCAAATGTCACGTAATGTTACGTCTTTAGGATATCTGTGGTATGTAACACCGAAATCTTCCTTTCTTGTAGAACAAGAGTTACAGTTCTCAATACAACATTTTTTTACAGCCATCCTAATGTTAGAATAGTGTGTTAACTAGTGTATACACATGTTTATAATGATGAATTTCGAAATGCTTCAAAGTATAGCTACCCACTGATAAAAATGATATTTAGTAATATACATTGTTACTAACTAATATTGTTAGTCGCAATTTTAAGAACTAGAAATCTGTTTTGATAAGAAAACAAACCTGTTTGTTAAACGTTGATCTATACCAAATCACAAAAATTCATGGCGGAATACAAGTCTCAGACTACAGATATATAATCTATATTACTATAACAATATTATTTATATAAGTCTTTATAATTTAAGTTGGAAACTCCTTCAGGTTTCGTCTACAAGAGTAAATGGTATAAAAAAAACGTAAATGATAACTATTATTATGATTAGACCATATTTATGCTAATAAATACTGAAGTCACTAAATGACGTAGTGTACTGACTGATACGTACTGACAAAGATTGATTAGACCATAGATTTTTTATTTTATACCATTAAGAACCTTTAGCTACGGCCTATGGCTATATGGCTAAGAACAAAGAATTACACAGAAAGAATGATAAAATAAAAACTGTAGATCATATAGTTACCTCCTTTCTTTTTATGGAAATGTAATTAGTAAAAAGAGGACGAAAGATATACGCTCCATCAGATGAGTCGTCAGCTTGTTTGCTATTTCTAAGTTGCAATAAAAAAAAATTAATACATGAGCATTCAGAACATTAATTAGTTTTTAAATGTAATAATTTGCTCTATCGAATCATATACAAAATATTTGTAATGGCTATAAATAAATTAAATGTTTCAAACATATTTAGACGTAAAACATGAAATTATAAGTATTTTCTCTGTTATTCATATTATATATAGACAAAGCTCTCTAGTGAATATAATTAATTAAAATTACTAACTAATTATATTCACTTGAAACTAATTCCATTTCAATAGGTAAATTTATTAGAAATTATTTTGTACATCATCGCGCCAAAACAGTTTCGAATGTATGTTATGCAAATTATTATTGTATTGTCTCTCTCGCTCTAACACACACATTATTGTGTTTTCTGTTTCGTACATTGGCAATCTAAATACTTTATAATGTAAGATACTGATAATTTTTTAAAGAATAAAGCTGAGCTGTGTATCGCGATAAGGAACAAAAATTACCTACTTATACAGCTTTTTTATTTAAATGCTTTTTTCTTCGATTAAGAACTTCATTGACGATATAGTGACAGAAGACTGACATAATTTTAGTTCAAAAATTGTTCTGCAGAGCCTATATTAATATTCATTCGGTAATCGTTTGTGTTTTTAAGTAATGAGATAAACTTTGATTTATTATTTCTCTTTGTCTCTTAACCTCATATTTTGATTTAATAATTTCCCAAAATTATTGTTTTATGGACCATCATAAACTAAAATAATAATAATTTTTATTTGAATCTATTAGAAAATTAAATTATATTGGCCGTTACAATAAATATTTTGCTGTAACATGAAATTGAAATTTTTACTTTAAACATAAATTTATAACATTGAGGCTCCATACTCAACTACAATATAATAAAAAGGCCAAAAATAAGGATTATTACCTGTGGTAACGATGTGAGCCATCTAAACAATATATTCTTTAATTTCTTTTCCTGCTCCTTATATGATCATCATTTTACATCCATCCATCCATCATCACCACATTTTATGCTTGCTAGCTCATTCTGACTATGTAGGGGGAAAGGGATTATTAGTAATAGGGACTAAGAATCACATTGCTAGCAATATACCTAACCAGGTCGACCTCCTTGCGGTTCCCCCTCGAAACTATCATGGTTAATTCCTGATGAATTCATCATGATGGGCTAACTAGCCTGTTTTCATTCTCATTGATCACCCTTCATTGGTGCTCCGCCAGAATATCCCGTTAGCGCAGGCAGGGTTACCATTCCATTTTCACCCATCAAAAAGACTATGTATAACTACTTAGTTTCCTTTTTCATAATAACATCAAACTATAACTATCACTAACACCAAATTACTTGCTGTTCCTTTTTAATATCCTGTCTCGTTTCCCGTTTCTTGGTGGCAAATGAGCAACATATTTTTTAATGGGTGAAAATAGAATGGTAAACCCGACTGCGCCACCGATATACGCTGGCGAGGCGTCAGTGATAGATGATAGATGAGGATGAAAGCAGGTCAGTCGGCCCATCGTGAAGAATTCGACAAGAATTAACCATCATGGTTTCCAAGCGAAACTGCGTGGAGGTTAACCTGATAGGGTGTATTGCTAGCAATGGGGCCGTTGTAAATCATTTCTAAAAATCCATTTACCCCCAATGAGTAACATTAGCTCCTTGCTATAAAAAGCTAATATAGTGCAATTTTCGTCTATTGCAACACTTTACTATATAGGAAATCACCCTTACATAAATAAAAGCTACTGAATAGATAAAAACGTTTAAAACCTACTTGCATAAAAAAAATCTTTAATTTATTTTATATTATATTTATAAGGCGCTATGATTTCTGATTGTTCATAAGACTAAAATTCACATGAGAATAATATTTTTTTATACAACTTGAAGACAAACAAATTGAAGAATTTAATCGGAAATTATAATCGTCGCCTATGGACATATCACTATGGACGTCACAGTATAGACTGTGATACTACTCATGCGTTGCCATTCCTAAGGATTAAGATTGAATGTACCATGTAATGTCACTACTATGTCGCCTGTACCTTCATATACACGGAAAAAATATAAATAAGACTAAATTATTTACCTAAACAGAAACAACTGTCTACTATTGTAGTTTTCCTCTGGCAAGTATCATCTGCCCGTGTGGTCCCGGCATAGAATAGGCCACCCCTTCTTTTCCCGTGGATGTCGTAAGAGCCAACTAAGGAAAGGCGAGTGATAGGTACCAGTCCCTCTTAAAACATATTCAAAGCCTAACTGCGGTTGCCAATCCGCCTGTTAAGCGTGGCAACTACTGGTAATACCCCCTTAAGGGGAGGGGGAGGCTTATATTCAGCAGTGCACAGTTAAAACTTGTTTTTATACAGTTAAAAACTGATATGATGATGATGGTGAAGCATCATTTAAATCATTGCTTAAGCAAGTAATCAGATAATTTAAAAGCTACTTAAGCGTTATAACTAGCTACTTACTCTGGCTTCGCAAATCACAAAATCTTGCCAACAGCGCCATTTATGGAGATAAAAATTATCCTATCCCAAGATAAAGAAACAATACACATTTACAAAATCGGTTTGAATGAACACCGTAATATGTGATTTTAATATATTCAGATATTTATTTGAGAACAAAAGAGGGAATGAAACAATGAACATTATCACAATCTAGTTTTTATTTTTCGCTTACTTCTTGTTGAAAAATTTTAATACAGAAATAAATACAGATAGATATACATACAGTTATGTAGAAAACGAGATTTATAAAAAAAAATAGGAAAGTATACAGTACTTTGTAAGTTAAAACAGTAACTCCTATGTATGACTTTTTATGAGTATTTTTTATGGATGATAATTAAATGGTAACCCTGCCCGCGCTATCTATATACACTGGCAGGGCACCAGTGAAGGATGACTGGTGAGGATGAAAAGGCAGGTCAGTTAACCCATCGTGACGAATTCAACGATAAATTAGTCACGACAGTTTCCACTTTCCGCGTAGAGGTCAATCTGATAGGGTATATCGATAGCAATGTGTACCAGCCTCCCCATTACTTACAATACCTTTCCCCCTTATTATAAGTATTAAGGTATAATGAGTATTTTTATGATAAAATATAATATGGCATTGGGGTCGATTTTGAGGCAATCACTCTGTAAACATATCTTCAAAATTAAAATTTGAATACTACACCGAAATCTTTATTCTAAGGACCATAATGAGCTAAATTTGTATTAATAAAAATCAATATTCGAATATAGGTAAGAGCGTCACTTCAGAACAGCTGCGCCTATTCTGCCAATTCTTTTTTGTTGTATTTATAACTTTTAGGGAAATGTTTGAAATGTTTCTATGAAAGAAAATGTTTATAAAATCATATGTAAAATGAAAGAGTTGGGTCATTAAATCTCTGCGTAAAAAAGTGAGTAACTGAGTGAGATAGATGATTATGGATCTTTAAAAATGTTGACATAATTGATCGTAGTTGTGCTATAATCACATTTTGTTACCATGTAAAGCCGAGGCCGGCAGTTAATTTTTAATAGATTTTTAATCAAAATTATTGATGTTTAAATCAGTAATTTTGTAAAACTATTAAATCAAAACATCGAGAGGTAATTTTAGAGAAATGGCACCTCATACTCGACCCCATTGCACCCTTCCCTTTTCAAATAGAACATCAATAGAGTATTTTTGGATGTCCATTTTAATTTGTTATACAAGTCTACATGGTATCACTTCTATTATATTAAATTTTGGCATTATTATTTATATCTAATTCTTATGCTTATTATAATTTACTGCTATCAGTTCTTTATTTGGTTTATAAATTAATGTTATGATTTGAATCATTTATAATTTTAACATCTAACACTTACCTACTAACTTAGTCTTAATACTTTAATGGTATACATGTATCATGTTAATTCTTAGAGAATAAATAAATATAACTTTGGTATTCATACGACTAACTAATAGCAATATTATGTTTATAATATCATTTAGTTATATATTCTTTAATATTTCACGTCACTTTGCTTTCCTTTAAAGGTTTTGCAATATTTCATGATAAAGATTCTTTTAATATTTCCTTTTCAAATATTCTATTTTTTATGGTACAGTAGCTTTTAACACATAAAAATATAACAGACACAATAATGTGCATACGATTTGCATCAAAATGCTTAGAACAAGTATGTAACCAATCAAATGTCAACTGTGTTTTTAGTATATATATTAGTCTATTTTTTAACTCATCAACATAACCTTCTTCATCTAGATATTTATTAACAATAGTTGTAGCAGACGCGACTGTTTGTATGAAGTTATTATTTATATACATCAAACTGGTGTTAATACAGTTGTATTCAACAAAATTAAACAAATGGCTTACCTCAATGTTTTGATCTACAAGCATTGCAGTTTTACATTTTTTACAATTTGATCTTATTTTTTTAATAACATACCCACAAACATATGCACATGTTTGTAATTCACCATAACATTGAGGTGTTCCAAATTCACTTGCGTCCACATGAACAGAAGAATCATGTTGGTCTTTATCAACATTAATAATAGAAGAATGTTCATTAATATCTTTAATATATGAAGATTTTAAATCACTCAGTACAATGTTATTGTCATCTCTGCAGCTATTATTGCGGCTGCCGTGTTGTAAATTTTCAATAAATGCAGTTTTAAGAGCTGCAACAAACTGTGTTGAA